ATCCCATTAAAATTTCCGATCTCCTCCTCCTTCCACCGATTTTCTTTCTATCCCTTCCCACTTTCCCGTCCCTTTACACCAACAGTATTACCGTACACAACAGATTTAATGGGAGGAACCATTCCAACAATAAAAGCCAACAATGTAGCAAATGTTGGAGGCGGGAGAACATGGCGAACTGGAGTTTGTTCAGTGACAATTCTTATTCTTCTAACCATCCGGGGCTCCGCTAAACATCTAATAGATTTTGGACTCCTCAGAGCGGGCGCCTCCTCCAAAGACTGAGTGACGTCAAGTCCAACGAGGAGATGGCGGCGGTCGTGGAAAGAGGATTCAGTTTCGGAGATCCACTAAGTGACGATTCTTTCTTTCGAGATGAAGAAGAATATTTCTTTTAATATATTTCAATGTAATTTCAACGTATTACGCTGTATTTTCATGATTTTCATTGTCTTTTTTTTATATTGTAATTCAATGTATCTCGTTGTATTCCATGTATTTTATTATATTCACTGTCTTTTTTTTCATTGTATTGCAATGTATCCCGTTGTATTCTATGTATTTCATCGTATTCACTGTCTCGCTATATGCCATGAATGTATTCATAAGTTTTTTTAAATTAATATAATTTATGTATTCAGATGTATTATATAATTTCTCTGAAGATTGCTTTGTTTTTGGGATATTTTTTGGTTGAGAATCTTTTTTATAACTGAAAATACAAATTTTGTGTGTTATAATTGAGTTTGTTGAGTTATATTAGGAGTCTATTATGTTAATTGATTTACTTTCCGTTTTAAAAACAGTGTAATCCCCTATTTCACGCCGTGAATACAGTCGAATACAATAATCTGTCCAGCTGTAATCCCATGTTTCACTCCATGAATACAGTCGAATACACTCGAATACAACAACTTATTAGCTGGACTTCCCTGATTCACGCCTATTTTTGCTACTGTATTCATGAATACAATAGCTTAAATACATCAAATACATCTTATAACCACATAAAGGATATCTATAATCCGTAATATAACAAATGATATCTATAAATGACTAATTACTACTAAAAAATAGTGTTTTATGAAAATTTCTCTAAAATATATTCCGAATATTGGAGCGACATGGTCAATAAAAATTTATATGACGGATCTCAATTTATTACTTAAGACGTAGTATTTGTTGTTCTAATTGCGTAGAAGGAAATTAGGAATTAAGTGCAACTCGAGCTTTTACGGCATTGTAATTAATGCAACATGGTCTAGGCTATCTTCAACTTGCTTATGATTAAAGCATAAGAGTTATAATAATTTTGAAGGAAAATTGGAATTAAGCTACGCTTGGATTAGATTTGGTTGAAGCTTGAAAGAAAGAGAAGATTTTTTTTAGTTATATTGAAAAATAGTTTGAAAATTGAAGTTGTGTTTGGATATTTATTTTACTTGAAAAAAATTAGAAATTTGTGAGTGGAAGACAAAATTTTACCAAAAAACTTCTAGTTTTTGAAACTTGAATTTTTTTAATTAAAAAAACTGATCACATTTCATGAACAAAAAATATTTTCAAATTCTTTTTTAAAAAGTGAATAAAAAATCTATGTCTAAACAAGAACCAAGCAAACTCAAGTTTTTAACAACATGCAGAGCTCGAAAAAAAAATACATCAAAGCCTTGAATACAGAATAAAGGCAAAACTATTTTATTTTTAGTCTCACCAAAATGATATAGTATTTTTTTTTTCCTTCATCACCAAACACACAAAAAACTCTTGTGATACACAAACAATTAGTAAAACACGTCTTTTATCAAAAGACATTTGGCTCAGGATATTTGATAGAATTCTTGACAATTTTCTTAGTAGCAGCATCACCAAGATCAATGCCACAAATATCAGCCAATCTGATAAGATAAAGCAATACATCAGATAATTCTTCACCAAGATGCTCTTTATCTGATTCCTTCCAATTTGGTAACCCTCTATCTACTTCTCCTCTCCATTGGAATATCTCTGATAGCTCCCCTACTTCACCTACCTGAAATTTTCAATTTGACATACCATAATTGAATCATATTCTAATCTTATTCTCTATTCTCACCATCACTAGTTAGCTTAACCATTTTATTTTTCATGAATAATGGAGAGATGCTTTTTATTTTCTTGTGTACAAAACTTTGCCAAGTAGTTATATGCCATTTAGATGCAACAGAAAGTCTATTAGTTAGTTATGATTCTTAGTTCTTATTTAAAGGGAGTATTGGAGAAACGATAAAGTTGTTTTCGTGTGACCTACAAGTTACGAGTTTGAGCCGTGGGATCAACCGCTAAGGCTTCATTAGGGTAAGCTGCTTACATTATATCCCTTGGGATGCGATCATTCCCCAAACTTTGCGTGAATACGGAATACTTCGTGCACTGAACAACCTTTTTTGATTCTTAGCCCTTATTTCTGCCACCAAGTTGGAAACACGATAACTGGTACCAACTTTCATACACATGTTATATGACTATCATCAACTTGTATAAGAACATTCTATATATAATTGGTCATGAAATAAACTTTAGCTTCAAGCGACTAATTAGAAAAGGATATAAAAATCAATCTTATTGCTCCTTTAAAAAGAATTAGGGAGCTCTCGAGGATTGGATTAGTCCACTAATCAAAATTAATAGGTACTGTGATTTAAGTTAAGGCAATTTTTTATGGTAAAATAGCTATATATATGATAGAAAAGTTTTACCAGTGACAAGAAATGAGTTCTTTCTTACTTCAAGCAAGCATTATTGCAATTTCATGTCCTATATCTTAGACTAATGTATCATTTCAAGTACCTAATGGCCATTGATGAAACTAGCTAGAGACAGGGGAGCATGCAACCAATATTAATGGATTTAACTGAACCTAGTATTTTTCGAACATAAATATAAACATACACATGAAAAACCACTGAAATATCAACTAGTTATTAATAAAATTTTGAACCTATATTTTCAGAAGTATAGCATGATCACCGTTAAGAACCAGAAAAATTGAATTCATCCGGCTTAAATCTTGGATTTGTCTTTGGATAAAAATGCTTTTTTAAGTCAAAGATGACAAGATCATATTAAAGGCAGAAAGGTAGAAAAACTTGATAAAAGAATTACCATGGCAAGGAGCAAATTCCTAGGGCTGTGAAACTTTTCCCAGTTTCTAACCTTAGCAAATTCTTCAAGCTGCTTAGATAGGTCTTTGAGACTAATATCTATTGATCTCTCTTGAAGTACTCCCTCTTTTCTTTCTTGTTCCATGGCTAAGTAAATGTGAGATTTGTTGCTTACAAAGAGACTAGAGGCCCTAATCTTGGATTTTAAAGGAGAAAATTTCACATTTGCAAATGGAATATTATAACCATAAAAGTGCAATGATGATAGCATTTGTTAAGTGATGAGGAAAAAGGAAGAGCAAAATTCTTAGGGCATACTAGCCTCAAATATTGGTTTTTATATGCAAGGATTCTTATGTTCCATCCCATCCATGTAGAATATTATATTCCAATTTTCTTAGTTTATTGTGAAAGGACAGTGCAAATTGATGAGCAGGTGAAACACCTTTTTGTGCAAATTGAGCAGCTGGCCTATGATTTATCGGAAACAATATTTCTATCTCACACAAGGTAGGCAGATCCCGAAAGAGGGTGTTCAATATATATTATATAACTCTAAAAACCTAATCATTACCTATATACACAATGTGATTTTTCGACGAAGGGTGATCGATTGACGACCCTTAAGACAATATAGCTTCGCTCCTGAAGGTAGGAGTAAGGTCTGTGTATATCTCACCATTTTCAGACTCCACTTGTGAGTAAACATTGGATATTGGATTGTTGAACAGCTCAATTAAACATCTTTCTTTTGCTCTCATTGTGCACCATTAGATTATTTAAGATTTATGTTTATGGGATATGAGTAGTGAGTAAGCCCAACCATTGAGTTTGTCTAGCGTTTTAGACCATTCATTTGCTGCTTAATTAGTCATTTCATTAACTTGATTAGTCTTTTCAGTTTAACGAATAAGGAAAACCTATTTTTGTCATTTCAAAGACCCAAAATAGAGAGAGAGAAAGAACGAAAAAAATAACAAAAAAAAAAGGTCCTACCGGGAGTCGAACCCAGGTCGCTGGATTCAAAGTCCAGAGTGCTAACCACTACACCATAGAACCTGATATGTTACACTAGTTTGTTTTATTTTATTTTCTCAGTTGTTCCTTAAAAAACCAACCAATGCAATCCATACTCACTTCAGAGCCCGACTAATCCGGATTCGCGCCGGGTAAGTATCATTAAAGGAGGAAGTGTTTTTTTCTTTTCCAAAGCTTAAATTCGAGTTTTCTAATTAAGGGTGGCAGAATCCTATCTATATATCCCACCACAACTCTAGATGATGATGTTTGTTTAAACATAGCACATTCATTCTTCATTCAAAACTACGAAAAAAAATATATTTCTTGCAATAACGTAAGAAAAAGTTTCTAACTTATATATGAATTAGAAAAGATTACATCAACTTGAAAATCATACAGAGTTTCATTTTGAGTTATTATTTATTTACTTATGTACATTTTGGGGGGGGGGGGGGGGGGGGGGAGTGGAAATGAAATAATTCAAATCTTGTGCGCATTCCAAGAATGAGTATACATGGAAATGGAGTAGACATTCCACTAGTTAAATCATACTATATGAAGAGGGATGCGAAAAAGGGTAAATATACCTTTCAACTTTCTTTGTTTATGGAATACAAAAACATTATCATTTTAATTTGGAATATTTTACCCTTATCTATGCTTATCATCATCACTTCAATTTTGACATTCTTCTTATCAACCGAAAGAAAAAATATCATGCAGTCAATAATTCTTAAACATTTCTCAATTATTCCTTGCATCTAATAATTTCCTTAGATAACATTGAAAATTATTTTTTTATTAGAAATAGACAGAAATTACATATCAAATTGTTCCTCTTCGTTATTTTATAGTATATGTTAAGTGCTTACTGATTCTACATTCCATCATTATCAGTAGTAATATTATATTATTTACTAATAGCTAGCACCTAAATAGAATCTTTTTGTTAGTTTATGATATACATGTATCAAAACCAGAAATAGTGATAGAGAAGGGTCGGTAAGACTGATATTCTAAATTATAAACAAATTGGGAGAACAAATACAAAATATTCCAATTTACTCCCACATTTTTCTTTTTCCTAATAATCTCAAAGCTCAGTCACGCTTATGCCTTTGCATCTCACAATAAGGAATCTAACAAAGTTCTTTTTCTTCTTTGTTTAGTAATTTATGTATTATATTTTTCTTCTGATAAATATCTAATAAAGTTTATACACAAGGAAGGGATGCTTCAACCATGTCATCTCCCTGTTAATGCCATTGAAAATAACTCTTTTGTGTAAGTAATATTTTTTGAGGAGAGACCTAGGTCTGATTTGGTGGAAAAGGGAAAAAAGAAACCTCTCTCTTTGAAGGTGCGCCTTGGAGCAACGATAAAATTATTTCCATGTGATTTATAGGTCACTGGTCCAACATATGAAAGTAGCCACTAATGCTTGTATTAAGGTAGACTGTCTGTATCACACCCCTAAGATTGCAGCTTTTTCTCAGACCCTGCGTAAATGCGAAATGCTTCGTACACCGACTGCCATTTTTCTCCAAATACTATATATGTTCTTGAGCGGGAAATTTTAGTAGTCTAGTTGATTGACTATCTAAATTTTTACTTTGTTGGTGAGAAAGTTAATTTTTACCTTTTCATCTTCTCCCCGTTTCCGTTTCCCCTACCCTATAATAAAAAAATTAAAACAGAAAAATATTCTTGGTCTCTTCAATTTAAATTGAAATTTTTACCTCCTATAGCAAATGTTAATATCTTATTTATATTAAATAAATACCATTTAAATAAATTATATTCTATAGATACCTTTTATGGTTTATAGCAAATTTTTTAATTTTGGTTATCTCCTACACTTAAGCCACTAAACAAGTTAGTTTTTATTTTTCTCTCTCCCTTTTCAAAATTTTCTCTCTCATAATTACCATATTTCATTAAAACTTCTCAATACACGTTCTTTCTCTCTTTTATTTTGATACACTCTATTCTCTTTCCCATTCCCTGCAAGCACGCCCAAAACCAGAGAAACCTCTCACCCACATCGCTTCCTTCTTCCCCAATCTCGGCATAAACCCTAATTTTCTCTCGATTGTTATCATTTGTTTCTATAATTAGTGTGGTAAGTATTTAAATTTTTTGATTTTCGCTATTTTTGTTTATTCTCAACATCTCTACTCACCAAGTTTTCTCTAATCAACAGTATTCAAGCGTATTCTCACAATGTCTGATTCAACACCCCGCAAGTTGATTACAAGAGGTATACCCACTAAAATTCTCACCTTCGATGGGCCCTCTTTCTCCTTGCAAATCACTCAAGGGGAATTGGATGCAGGTTTAGCAAAAAATATGGCATTGGAGAAGAGAACAAAATCTCGCCATGACAAGTTCAAAGAAACCCAAGTTGAGAAATCATTGAAGGAAACAAGACTTCCCATTGCGGAAAAGAGGAAAAAATATATTTCTGAGGCTTCATCTGTCAAGGGGAAGGAGGTTGAAGCAAGTAATTAAAAGCTCGGATACCTCGGAAGAAAATGTAATTTCTGATGTATTCATCTGTATTGTTGATGTACTCATCTGTATTTATATGTATAAACCTGTTGACTTCTCTGTTTTTTTATGTATATAAATACATGTACATGTATTTAAATTTATTCAAAAAGGATATTCAATGTATTTTTGTACTTACAGAAATCAATGAAACAAATATGAATATGTATTCTGATGTATGCAAATTGACTTTTATTGAATTGTATGTTGCATAATGCATTTTAGATTTATTTAGATGTATTCATATAGTTCTTTCACTGTTTTTTACCTTAATAGATTGACCTTTTCATATTGCATATAGTTGTATTTATAAGGATTTTCAAAGTTCCCATCACTGTTTTATTCTAATTGCAATATCTTTATTTGTTGTATGCGTATGTATTATATGTGTACATATATTTCTATCACTGATACAACTACTCCAGTTTATTTTTGCAGTTTGTATTTAGTTGTATTTATATGTATTTATTCTTGTTAAATGCAGGGAATTAAGCTGATTGTGAAAAAACAGCCTATATTTGCACCGCATATCAGTGTATATACTAACACATACATAGTCTCAGAGCTAAAAGAAAATCTTACTCCAGAGCAGTACAAATAACTTGATAATACTTGTTTTGGAAATTTCCTTCAAATAAAGCGTTGTGAAGTCCAACATCAACTTTTCAGATGCTTCATGGCTCTCCAGTTAGAAGGAAGTCCTGATGATGTATTTTCAATACACGCCAATGGTACTTCATTATCTTTCTCAATAAGGGAGTTTGCGCTTGTGATTGGCCTCAAATGTGTTGGTAACCCTACTGATTTTTAGTTCAATGAAAAGGTTTCTAACCGGATTATTGAGACTTACTTTGGAGGTGCCAATCTTGTCAAAAAGAAAGATTTGTTGAAATGCTTTGCTGACAAGAATTGGGGTCACGACAATGATGGGGATGCCTTAAAGATAACTGTGTTGTATTTAATACACACTTTTATTTTTTCATCCGAGAAGAATAGCACAACCATCCCAAGGCTACATTTTGACTTAGTCGATAATGGGCGCTATTCTGAATATCCATGGGGTATAAAAGCATTTGAAAGCCTGACAAAATCTATTAGCAAGAAGATGGATGCTCAGAAGAAGTACTACAGGATAACTGGGATGCCTGTAGCTATGCAAGTGTGGTTTTATGAGTGCTGTTCAAATGTTGATCCCAAAATTGCACTCCGAGTTGATAACGTGGTCCCCAGAATACTCAATTGGAGATCCACCGGAAATCAGCCAAACTTTGCTTATCTGATGAATGGCATGTTCAATGACAAGGGAAATATGATAATTTACAATTTGTATCCTCGCTAGTTTATAATTTACTAATCATTACTGCTGCATACAGTTGCATACAGTTACTGCTGCATACAGTTGAATACAGTTGCTGCTACCTTCATTATTACTGCTGCATACAGTTGCATATAATTTACTAATCATTACTGCTGCCTTCACTTGAATACAAATTACATTTTGATTCCAGATTTGCATACATCCATTCTAGTAAGACTTTGATTGTATTTCGTTTTTCAGATTGTTTACAAGGACATCCATCCAACCGATATAGAGCTTTCCGTTATTTAGATTTCTCTAGTAGGCGTTGCTATTGAGAACAATCCTACTCCTACTTATTCAGGCAAGTCGGCAGAGGATTCAGATGACTTTTCTCCTACACCTGATCTTCAGTGTAAGAAGAAACATGCTGCAAGTGTTGGTC